TTTTTTTTTTTTTTTATTATAAAAAATATGATATTTTTAAATTATTTTTTTTTATTATATTATAATTATAATTAAGTTATTTTTCTATATCATTTTATAATAAATAATCACACATAAAAAAATATTAAATTTTTTTAATATAATTAAATTAAAAGTGGGTATTAAATTAAAAATGTAAACGGGGACGGGTACGAGACGGGTAAGTACATACCCGTACCCGTACCCGATTTAAAGTATCGGGTTTTACCTGTACCCGTACCCGTACCCGGTCAAACCGGGTATTCCCCGTCAAAGTCGGGACGGGTTCGGGTATTACCCGCGGGTACGAGTATATTTGTCATCCCTATTATCACATTCTCAAATATCAAATAAAAAAGTAATTATTTGTAATTTTATGTTGAACTAATTATTTTTTTTCAAATTAAACAGTAATCCAAAACACAATGTTTAAAATTAAGGTAAGTTGAGTTGGTCGTAACACATTCTATATTAGTTGGGATTACTAATTAAACTTTTGCTTTAGGTTTCATTTACACAATGAATGAATGTAATAGTTTATTTTGCCAGTGTTGATTATTGGATCCGATTAATAACATTGGTTAAAGTACTGTTTGTGCAAATTGCGTATTGTTTAACAAAATTAAGAAACACACTGTTTTCATCGTTTACCATTGTTCTAACATAAGTGATTTTGAAGTAATCGAGTTAAAGAAAAAGGAGAGGAGTGGTATTAAACAACTAAGATAGTATTGTTTTTGCAGAGAATTGGCGCGAAAGATGGTTGCCTAAAAAGAAGAGAGTGCAGTGTGCAGTGTTCTGATATCATTCTCTTAGCTATTGCCTATTCCTTCATTTTCACTTTCACCAATCACTATAAAAGCCTGACCACACCATACCACACAACCACGCCTTGCATTTTCTTGTTTTTCGATGACTCTTCTGTGTATTTATTTTTCACATTTATGTTTTTTTTTAATATATATTAATTAATAATTTTTATTTATTTATTTTTACAAAAATTGTTCCTACTAAACTAAAATCTTGGATCTACTAATGTATTTGAGCATTTCAAAATGTAATGTATTGTCGCACTCACTAATATACGATATTAAGAAAATTCTAAATAATTTTAAAAAATTCTCAATTATTTTATCTAAGTCTTTAAATTTTACCACAGAAAATTATTTATATGGCGATATTAATATTTGTACTTAATTCACATTTTTCTCCTAATTTAAGACTAATCTGATTAACGTATTACATCTTCAGTAACTTTTATTAAAATTATACTTGAATAACAATTTTTGGTAAATTTTCTTTATTATTTAATGAAAATCAATCTTGATTATGTAGTTTTTAATAAATTTAGCCATGAAAATATATATTAAAAAATGTATTTGAGAATTTGTTACTAACATTCTTCTTTCATATTAACATGACAAAACTTTCGGAGATTGAAATAATAATTACTCTTTAAAAACTTAAGCTTATACACGCCTTTAATAAATTATAAAGTGATGGAATAAGAAACATTTAAAATAAATCCATTAAACACATATTTAATAATTTAAATATTTTTATACAAATTAATTTTAATAATTTAAAGGCAAACATGTCCTAATCCATCATCAACCATCATTAAAGTAACTTGATTATATTTTTTTTTGTTTTTTTTTTATTCTATTTAACTTGATCATATGAATGAGAGATTCAAAATAAATAATCTTTTAAGGAATTAAAAATTGGCATTTTGACCACTATAAATAAAAAAGAAAATAAAATTTCAAAAAAAAATTTATAAAAAAAACTATTTACCAAAATAAATAATTTAGGACACGTAGGAGTGAGAAGAGTGTGAAAACGTCAAAGTGGTTGACGTTTTTCTTACACTGTGCATGCAGGGCCTGTGCTGGAAAATGTAAGTGGTGAAGGCGTCACACTGGGTGACGTTTTTTAACTGTTCATCCTTTTTCAGGTGCACAGTTTCAGTAGCTCAGGGAATCAGAATAAAACGCACTGTTCATGGCAGTTTGACCAGTACGAAACCTGCTTAAAAAACGTCAACGCAGGTGACGATTTCAGCATAAAAAATTTGCAAAGAAAACTTCAACTAAGGTGACGTTTTTAGTTCATATACCGCTGCTCCCCTTCCTTAAATAATGTGAAAGTGAAAGTTAAAGAATAGACTAACAGAGAAGGAGAAACGAAGAAAAGGAGAAGGTGTGAACGAACTGAAGATAACAAGAAACGAAGAGAAGGAAGAAAAGATGTAATTTTAACTGTTTTGAAAGCTTTGGACGTTGTTATTTCGTGCAGGTTTTTGGTAGTCAATGATTCTAGAACGGCCCGTTCTAAAACCAGAACGGGACGTTTTGAACCAGTTAATGTGTGTTAAATTTGTAACCGAAACGGCCGTTCTGGGAGCAGAACGACCCGATGTGGTTTCAGAACGGGCCGTTCTGAAACCAGAACAGGCCGTTCTAGTTTCAGAACGGCCCGTTCTGAAACGCCATTTCATTGCCATTTTTCTTTTGTTATATAATTTAAATTATTCGAAATTAAGTGTAATAATTTATGTTTGTGTGATTTTAATTATATAAAATTGATGTAGTAGTATAAGATTATTTTGTTTAAGATTTAATTCATTATTCGTTATTTAGGGGTAAACGGTATTTATTATTTAAATTCTATGTACGTATTTGTTGATTGTGTATATTTTCAGAATGTCTCGTAAAAGAGTTAATCCGGGACCCATTGATGATTCTTTATTGACTATGCAATCAATTCACGTGTCTGAGCACGTATGGAATGGTGAGGCTGATAGAGTTCTTCGTATTAGAAGAGCTACCAAAAGTGGTCATCGAGATGGGTCAATTCCTGACGAATTAAGACCTTATCTTGCACGAGCAGGGATGCTTGGAGTGGCTGAAATCTCATACTTTCCTATTGACCACCAGTTAATTTCAGCATTAGTTGAGAGATGGAGGCCAGAGACACCCACTTTTCACATGACATTTGGAGAGTGTACAATTACATTGGAAGATGTTTCAGTTTTGTTAGGTCTAAAGGTACATGGAGACCCAATTACTGGTATTTCGACATATAATTGGGTCCCACTTGTTCAAGATTTGTTTGGAATAACACCACCAGCAAATGCAATTAAAGGTGGAAGGCTGAAGATGAGCTGGGTTGATGAACATTTTTTTGATATTTCGATGCATGTGCATAACATTGAACAAATGGAACGATACACCTGAGCTTATATATTGCAGTTGCTTGGAGGTATGCTTTTCTGTGACAAGTCTTAAACTCTAGTACCGATGCGATATTTGGTCATGTTAATAAATTTAGACCAATGTGGGCAACTTAGTTGGGGATCAGCCTTACTTGCTCATTTATATAGAGAACTGTGTGTTGCTACTAATTATGACAATAAATAAATTAGCGGGGCATGCATTTTACTACAATTGTGGGCATAGTATCGGATGCCGTATTTTGCACCCTTCACGGCACCACGAAATATTTTTTGTGTTCCTTTAGGTGCAAGGTAATATTTTAATTTAAATTGCGTTATTAAATATTAGATTTAACATGAGACAAATAATTTTAATTAACTTGTTAATTTTTGATATTTTTAGGTGGAATAGTGCCTTGCAGGTGACACAAAGAAGTGTTGTTCAGATTCGCGATGCGTTAGATAAGATGAAAGATAAAGATGTACATTAAGAGTTGTTATTCATTACAAATTAAAAGTGGATATCTTCAAATTAGTATTCATTCATTTATGACTTTTTGTGTTTTTTGTTTGCAGTTTGTTTGGCAGTCATACCATCCATATTTGCATTCTCTACCACCATATTGTGTAGAGAACACAAATATTTGGAGGGCGGTAGATATATTTGTGCCATCACATGACCCCCCTACAGGTAGTTATTATGCTTATCCAATGACACCATCAGGGGGTTATAGTCAGTATGTTTATACTTCAGGTGATACTACTGGAGAAAGTCCTACTTCTGCTGCTTATGTTTCATCTCCATTTGATACACATTTACCACCTTCATCTGGTACCTATGTTCCTTCTCAATCAACACAGACTCCAGATCCTTATACGAGCAACATGATGACCCCGTCAGCACCTTATTATCCATTTAGATATGGCGGGGATGATATGCATGGTACTTCTTTTGGAGGATCTTCTGTTCGACAAGGTACTTCTATTGGACAGTCTGGTTTTGGACAGTATGGATTTGGACAACCTACTTCTGTTGGACAGTTTGTTTTTCAACAACCAGGTTTTGGACAATCTACTTCTTTTGGACAGTCTGGTTTTCAACAGCAAGGTTTTGGACAACCGACGCTTGTTACAGAAGAGGTAGAAGAGGAGGACCCTGTAAGAAGGAACCCAGATCTGGATGCTAGGCATCGTGGTCGTCAATGTATTTTGTCACCTCATGATCCGACAAATCCACGATGGAGGCGTAGGAGATGATTAATTTGTTTATGATATATTTTTGTTTTTTTAGGACTTTGAATTATGTAATGAATTATAATTTTTAATCCATGTTTAGTCATTATTGTGTTTAATAATCATGCACCAATGATTTAAAATAATTCATACTTAATTAGAAAAAAAAATAATTACTTAAAATATCACACATAACTGAATATTACATGATGAAAACTCCATATAGACATTAATGATTTAGGTTATCAATGATATTTGATGCTAGTTGCGGACAATTTGTTCTATTATGACCTTCAACCCTACAATGTCCACAACGTTGTGTTTGTTGTGACTCTGTCCAATCCATGTCATTTCTTATACGCGTTTATTTCGGACGGCCTTTACCACGCAACATACTTTGGTCAGGGACAATGTGAGGTCCGTTGGTAGGACGAATGTTGTCATCATTGCCAAGCGGGTACCATTGGCCAAAATATGCCTCTTTGATATATGCATTTGAATAGGCAACATCAACATAGGTCAACGGATCTATGCGAACATAAGCACATGCGGCAATGGCATGTGAACATGGATATCTATAAGCTTAAAAGCTCCACACTCACATTTTCGTTCATTAAGAAGTACTGTCCAAGTATGACCACCTCTTTGTGTAACTGGATTAAAAGCTTCTTCCACGTCGAATCTGGTGGCCTCATAGTCATATCTTTGAACAAAATGAGATGTTGCCTCCTCTTGGTTGTTTCGCATAGCATCCATTAACTTTGTACAATATCGTTGACCAATAGCAAGCTCCGCATTTGCTTGACCTAACCTTTGCACAAAATACTCAACTAACCTACCATATGTACACTTTACAAGAGCTGTTATTGGTAGGTTACGGGCACCCTTTAAGATCTTGTTGACAGCCTCAGACAAGTTTGTAGTCATGTGGCCGTATCTGCGACCTTGGTCATCATGGGCGAGGCTCCATTTTTCTAACGAAATCCCATCAATCCATCGACGAATTTCTGGGCTTATCTCACGAAATTGTTCAAGCCTCCTAGTAAAGTTATGTTTGCAAGTTGTGTAGCCTGTCCAAATATTAACATTAGGGTTTAGCATAACATATTATGTACTATAAAAATATAGAATGTAAAAAGGAAATAATATTTTACCCATGTGAATCAGCTCTTGTTTGAGTTTGACATTTTTGAACCGGTGGTTGAAATTGCTTGTAATGTGACGAATACAATACACATGATACCCATACGGTGGTTGCCAACCATTATTTTCATTTGCCACAGCTGATTTGATGCTTTGGTGTCGATCTGATATTAAACAAATGTCTTGCTTTGTAGTTACGTATCGACGAATGTTTGACAAGAACCATGACCAATCACTTAATGTTTCACCTTCCAAAGTCGGGACGGGTTCGGGTATTACCCGCGGGTACGAGTATATTTGTCATCCCTATTATCACATTCTCAAATATCAAATAAAAAAGTAATTATTTGTAATTTTATGTTGAACTAATTATTTTTTTTCAAATTAAACAGTAATCCAAAACACAATGTTTAAAATTAAGGTAAGTTGAGTTGGTCGTAACACATTCTATATTAGTTGGGATTACTAATTAAACTTTTGCTTTAGGTTTCATTTACACAATGAATGAATGTAATAGTTTATTTTGCCAGTGTTGATTATTGGATCCGATTAATAACATTGGTTAAAGTACTGTTTGTGCAAATTGCGTATTGTTTAACAAAATTAAGAAACACACTGTTTTCATCGTTTACCATTGTTCTAACATAAGTGATTTTGAAGTAATCGAGTTAAAGAAAAAGGAGAGGAGTGGTATTAAACAACTAAGATAGTATTGTTTTTGCAGAGAATTGGCGCGAAAGATGGTTGCCTAAAAAGAAGAGAGTGCAGTGTGCAGTGTTCTGATATCATTCTCTTAGCTATTGCCTATTCCTTCATTTTCACTTTCACCAATCACTATAAAAGCCTGACCACACCATACCACACAACCACGCCTTGCATTTTCTTGTTTTTCGATGACTCTTCTGTGTATTTATTTTTCACATTTATGTTTTTTTTTAATATATATTAATTAATAATTTTTATTTATTTATTTTTACAAAAATTGTTCCTACTAAACTAAAATCTTGGATCTACTAATGTATTTGAGCATTTCAAAATGTAATGTATTGTCGCACTCACTAATATACGATATTAAGAAAATTCTAAATAATTTTAAAAAATTCTCAATTATTTTATCTAAGTCTTTAAATTTTACCACAGAAAATTATTTATATGGCGATATTAATATTTGTACTTAATTCACATTTTTCTCCTAATTTAAGACTAATCTGATTAACGTATTACATCTTCAGTAACTTTTATTAAAATTATACTTGAATAACAATTTTTGGTAAATTTTCTTTATTATTTAATGAAAATCAATCTTGATTATGTAGTTTTTAATAAATTTAGCCATGAAAATATATATTAAAAAATGTATTTGAGAATTTGTTACTAACATTCTTCTTTCATATTAACATGACAAAACTTTCGGAGATTGAAATAATAATTACTCTTTAAAAACTTAAGCTTATACACGCCTTTAATAAATTATAAAGTGATGGAATAAGAAACATTTAAAATAAATCCATTAAACACATATTTAATAATTTAAATATTTTTATACAAATTAATTTTAATAATTTAAAGGCAAACATGTCCTAATCCATCATCAACCATCATTAAAGTAACTTGATTTCGAAGACTTATACAATGCATAATGGTCGAAGCTAGCAACTCATTCATCTATATATAACAAAACTTCTTAATGATAAACGTTATCCCTGATGACGTTTTCATGGTCAAAGAAACAGTCCCTGCTGGTTCAGAGAGAGGCACATTAGGTTCATAGAGGGCAGTGACAGTAGGTTCAGAGCAGAGTCAAACAGAAAACGTTATTAGTGCGTACAACTAAAAACGTCACTGGTAGTGACGTTTTCAGTTGATTAAAAAAATTACACTGAAAACATCAGGGGTATTGACGTTTTCAGTTGTTGAGTCAAAAAATTACACTGAAAACGTCAGGGGTATTGACGTTTTCAGTTGTTTTCAATACCCTTGACGTTTTCAGTGTAATTTTTTGACTCAACTGAAAACGTCACTACCAGTGACGTTTTTAGTTGTTTTTTCCCATGCGGATCAGTGTGAACAATACAGTGAACAGTACAAACTCGTCACTCAGGTCGACGCTTTCCACAAATCGTCACTCATCTTGACGCTTTCTTCATCCTACGTGTCCAAAATTATTTATTTTGGTAAATAATTTTTTTATTATTTTATTTTAAATTTTTTTTATTTATTTATTCTGGTTCTTAAGCCTTAAAAATTATGATATTTCTAGCTATAAAAAACATATTTAACTTTAAATTGCTATATAAATGAAATGTAATAATTTTTTGGAATTAAATATTTTCAGTGTATGAAAATATCAAATGTCATATATATATATTAATCTTAGTCCACAAAGATTTTTTTTTTCATTTTTAATCAATACATTTAGTGAAATAATGTGATTTAATCTTCCACCAAATGCGATTTTATAAAAATAAAAATAAATAATTTTTAATAATAACTACAAATTATGATTTTTATAAATTAAAAAAAAATAATAAATAAATATATATATATATATATATTTTTTTTAATATTATACTAGAGCACCTATACCCATGTATTGTAGGATGTAGTCTATTGCTTCTTAAAGATCTAATGGGGTTTTCTAGCCCA